CTTGGGCTCGGGCGAGCGCCCAGGCGGCGCCTGTTTGAAGCGCGCCGCCTGGGACATTAGCGAGGCGCTCGGGCCTCGCCTCGCCTCGCCCGAGCGCCTAGGCGAGCGCCCGAGCGCCTTTTTCAATCACTGATGATGACTGATGAATGCTTCTGGATGATTATTATGTGGTTCACCATCTTTGGCACCACCAAACATTCAACAACGACATGATTAGTAGCAGTTTCTTTTCTATGGGAGTTAATGGTCACAACTAATTGTTTTGTTGCAGGAGAAATAGGAATCACAACATTTCTTTGGTAGTTGGCACACCACTAGTTTTAGCTACTAGCTTAGTCCGATGGCCCAGTGGACTAGGGTCTTAGCAATAGTGTGTCTAGGTGGATCAACAGTTTTCCTACATTTATCAATGACATCAAGACTGGTTCTTTCTTTTAGGCAAAGCAATTCTTTAGATGCATGGTTACACTTGGAAGACTCCAAGGTTAGTTTAGAACCTTTTAACTCTCTGATGTAGCCATGCAGTGGTACAAATGGTACTTTCTACAGGTGAGCAAGTATATATTGGAGGACTTATTCTTAGGCATTTTCGATAAGATTTTGGTCACCTTGCATGATGAATCACAGTGCCACACTGCATGAACTTACTCAAAGAGGTTATATATTCAAATATCAGAAAGAATTTCAGAAGCCAACAAGATGCACTACATTCACAAAGATATGTTGATTGTGTAGTTCATTGGATGCATATAAGAGAGATTACACTCAGAGGTTTTAGCAGAAGGGTCTGCTACCTTGTAGCTTTTCTTGAGGCGAGGGTGATGAAGGAGAGGACCAACAGTTCACTCCCACTACCGTTATAAGTCAGATTAGACTGGTTCAATTGCAGTCTAACCCTAACATCTTAGTTTGACGAGTGATGCCAGCTCAGCTTGTTACCTTGGTGGCCTTGCATGTTTTATTAGCAATATTCTCATTTGGTCCCTTGTTGGCAACATGGTCTCTTTTGAGTTGTATGCTTTTATTGAGACGAGAAGAGTACTCTTGGCCTGAAGTGGGGGACCACCTCCCACCTTATAGTCATGGAAAATGAAGAGTAAGCTTTCCTAGACCTTGAACAACTGGAGAAGAATTTGGAGATACAGAACAACATTGTTGGTCCCTAACTTTGAATCAGAGATATTTATATTTGTTGTATATGGAGTGGCATAAAAGCCAAAAGCTATGAGGTTTACTTCTTCCATTAAAAAGACATCTAATTTGTCTTTGGGAGACATGGGCTCATCAACTTATTGTTTTATAGTCATGGGTATGACTAAGAAGCTCAGAATAAAGACGGAATCTGTCTGCATGTTCAAGGTCATTGTGAGTAGTAGAGAGTCTCAAGTGTCAAGGGAAGTGTATTAAGGTACCTTTGTCTGTGTAAGGAATTTGATGTTGTCATCCGCTCCACTATAATGAGAGGTGTGGATGTGGTTTCTCTTTTTTTTTTTCGGTGTCATAACCAACAAGTACCTCCAAAAGTATTGTAATGACCTTTTGAGTATGGAGGATGCAACACTCAACTTAATGAGGATGACAATGCTACAGCTTAACTGATTAGCATCTATTGATTTCTAAACCTTGTGAAATCTTTTTTGTTATCTTTTGGCGTGCAGAAGTTCTCTGCCAACAATGTTGAAATACTAGAACAGCAGCAAACCATTGATAAAATTTCTGGAAGCCAAAAGAGGGTTTACTGGTCTTATGTCAGATATTACTGGGCCTCTAATATTGACACCAGCAGCATGATGCTGCCACACATTCCAAGAACCATACTATCAACTGACTGATCAGGCCTATAAACATTCTAGGTTGAGATAGGTCCAGGACAGCAACAAACAGCTGATGATACATTTCCAGCAGCAATTGGCTTCACTTTAGCCCCTGTTCAAGGCCTGGTCCTAATTGGGCAGCATCCTTCATCGGCGAATTTTCACATGTTCTTTGTTCATTGTATTTCTTGGAAACCTGTTAAACTTGTTGATATATCAATGCCATTCAAAAAGGGTGATGTCTATTTGGGTTTATCTAGTTCAAAATTTGCTGCATAATGTTCCTGACCTATTCAGCTAGATATAGTTGAAACCTAGTAATTGTTTACAATTTCTTTCTTCATATTGTATATTAATGGATGCAGATGCTGGGAAGTCTACAATTGGGGGACAGATACTTTTTCTGAGTGGTCAGGTTGACGACCGAACAATTCAGAAATATGAAAAGGAAGCTAAAGATAAAAGCCGAGAAAGCTGGTATGCTAGTGCTATAATCCAAATTTATGATATTTATTTATTAAGGTGCTGCTGAGTTGATGAACTACTATGTAATCATCAGAAAAAAAGTGTTGGATAATTGTATGGTCATACAATGATCTTCTAATCTGCATATCATATACTTATAATTTCCCCAGTGTTAGGGACAAATGAAGTTGGCTTGTTACAATTGCTACTAGTCACTAGTTTCAGCATATTTTAAAATAGATTCGGATGCATGTTTATAGATTTCATCATTTTCTACATCGTGAGATATATACTTCTGCTTCATCAAGAAATGTAGTCCAGTGCAGTTAAGCAGTATTAACTACTAATCACAGTAAAAAATATTCTTATCTTCCTGGGTTATCCCATTGTGTTGTCATGATCGTTATTTGTGTTTGTATTGTTCATGATTTTTGAGGAAACTAAAATATCTTCTTTTTCAGATGCCTAACAGGCAAGAAGTTTGAGTTCACATTTTTTCTTGAATAGCTTAGTGATTATAGGTCAGTTATGGAGGACGGTCTTTCTTGAGCAAATCAGATGCCATTATTAAGAGTCAGCTTTAAACATGATTTGTGCTCAGTTGCACTCCTCCTGTTTTGTTCTCATCTGATTTAGTTTCAGATATTCTTAGTCAACCTAAATATAGTGGTTATCCAAATTATATCTAGACTCATTTAAGTAATAGATATTGATTATTTTCAAAGAGAAATTTCTGATGGGAGCACAAAATTTCATGGCTGGTTGACATAAAGACCAAATATTTCAATGAATATTAAGCTGCATTACATCTTATGTTCGATGCCTGTGACATGGAGTATATGCTGGCTTTTTAAACAACAAAATGAATCTTCTTAACTATTAATTGGAAGTAATAACAAATAATTTATACTGAATTTGGTGTAAAAGAACAAGCAATACTTGATATTTTTATTTGAAGATGTTTGTTGCTGCTACAAAAATCTTTTAATAAAGCTTGCAAAGTTTGCTGGTCCACCCCGAGTATTTTTCTCTCCTTGGTGGGAAGGGAATCAGAGTAGGATCTTGCATATGTATCATACTATATGAAGGTTGCTAGTTAGCCCATGGAGAAGTGGTGAGGAACTAGGAGAAATAGAAGCAAAAATAGGGAGATGCTAGTTCTTGAAACAACCACGATCTTCTTTGCTTATGTATTTTCTGAAACCAATAATAGATAATTTAAACTGAATATTATGTGGAGAAAGAAACCATGTAGATTCTTTTTCTTAAAGCATGTTGAATTTGCTAATCCATCATGAGTATTATGTCTCCTTGTGGGAAGAAGAATTGGGAAAGAAAAAACAAGGGAGTAGCAGTGAAAAATTAAGAATATTGGATAGATGAATGATTCAAATGCCGATGCAATATCTGTTGGTCTAACTGGATTGAAACATCCAGCGTGAACCTGTCCCAAATAAAAAGACCCACTGAGCCCTCTTCCTCTCATTTCTTCACCTCTCAAGTTCAAATCTTTCTTCTCCCATTTCGTCACCAAAAACTCTCTCCCAAACTTGATTTTTCTCAAATTCGAGGACTATCATAGGCAATTGAAGGTTCATTCTCAAGAAATCATCTCATTTTGTTTGAAATAAGGAAATCCGAATCTCAAATATGAAATTATTCAGTTTATTTTAAATGGAGTTGTATTCTTGTTATTCTTTCTCTATAATGTCATCATTTTATGGATCTAGATATAAGTTTTAGGGTTCTTGTCGAGTTTACAGAGGAATGTTATATATACTTTTGAATGATTCTGAACAAAAATATTGTGGATTTGTTTGCAGCTTACGAAAATCTTTGCGGATTTGTGTGGATCCGACATGCATCTGTGTGGATTGTCTTAGATCCTTAATGATATAGCCTAAATACATGCAGATCTAAGTTTGGAAAGCAATAGAGTGCCAATTTGGCATGATATCATTCCTGTCGCTTGGATAACCACCATTATGGTAATTCTTACACTAAACAACATTGGTTTGGGTGGAGGAATAACCTGTCTCAAACACTATTTGGCTGGTGGATATTTTGATGTTGTCAGATGCACAAAGGTGTTATAGCAGATCAGACAAGCTTTCATCTCGAAAAGCTCTAATGTTGTAGCAAAAAGCGCAACATAAGGACATGAATACTTGGACAGTTGAGCTAATTGTTTATGATGAGTATGAGAGTCAGCGGATTGATGTTGATGAAGATTCCAAGCTTGCAGCCTTGGTTCTTGCATCCCTAAAATCTCAGTGTGCAAACAAGGAGGCCATGAGAACATCGAACTTGAGACTCAGCAGGGTAGGGGCAGTGGTGTCTGTCCGCTTAGCTCAGTCAATGTTTCACTGTGAAGCAACTTAGTGGTAGCAGTGTGTAGGGGCTAGGTAGGAGTGCTAGCATGAGGTAGTCCAGTTGTGCATATCTGCTGCGTAGAGTTGCAAGGATCAAGTGGCCCTTGAGCAGGTGGCATGTCGGGCCTTCTTAATTCATTTGACAGGAGGCCAATTCTTGATATTGTTGAACTAGATCCCGTGGCTTAAGTATTCTGGATTAGTTCTCTTTGAAATCTCTTCAAGTTCCTTCATTTTCATTTACGTATACCTCCAAAATTATTTTTTCTTCTCAAAAAGGATCATGACTGGCACAATTTAGACCATTTTAGAAAACCGCATATTTTTAAGATCAAGCTATGTTTTGTCATGTTGTTGGTTTGAACAATTTTGGGTCAGAAACTTTAACAAATACAACGGCCCCTATGCACATAAGTGTTCTACCATAGGTTCTCTAGTAGTCCAATTTCAAAAAATATTTTTTGCACCTCTTTATATAGTACTGTTCATAATAAATATGGAGTCTTCTGTTATTTTATGCAAGCCTTAGGTCCATATTAAAATATGCTTTCCTTGATTGATAAATATAAAACTATTTCCTTTGTGGATTTCATTGTATCGTAAAAGTATTCTCTTAACCCACAAACTTCATTCCTCTTGTGTTTTTAGTAATAACAAAAGGTGTTAGGTTCAAAATATTTGAACTAAATTTGTCAGTTTCAGCTGAAGCTGAATTTTAGGTGTTGAGTTTAGCTAAAACATTTTACCAATAGTGATTGCTACAGGCTTTGCTTTTATTCTTTGTCATTTGAATTCCATTTCTTTTATAAGTAGAAGATAATCTATGCTTTTATCGACAATGTTCAATTACTTAGAAGTTGTTAGGTATTTAAAATCTAGTAGTTACTAATTCCTTTCGTGTCTTCTCTGCATTCTGTATCAATAACCCAATCCTTAGAATAGCTATGAATTGCTACCTCGTATCTTTTCAAGTATTACAGCATTTTATATGAGAGAAGCTCATTAATATATAGATTTCACATTACCACACTTGAAAATACCTAATTTTCCCATTTCTAAAATTATTAGATGTTTCATTTTGCACAACTTTTAAAATACAAAAATACGGAAGCAGAATGGTGAGTTTGGCTATTAATTCAACTATTTGGAGACCTTTTGTGGGTAATGTTTTGCCAAAATGACATGATTGAACCTTTTTGGAACTCGTATTTTTATTCCTTAACCATGTGGGAGCAATCAACTATATATATTTTTTCCTTGTACCAATCAACTTTGTGATATCCTAATAATCTATTGTTCATGTGAGAGTTTACTGAAACCCATAACCACACCCCTTAATCCATTGGTTGACTATGCCATTTTTTATTTAACCATGCACTAGTTTAGCTTTGACCATGCAAGAAGTTGACCTGCATGACATCCACGAAGCCTGAACCTAAATATGGGCTATGATGCCAGATTTGCTAGCACAACTCTTTATGGGAGTTGGTGCATGCATTAAATGGTAATAAGACACTGGTACAGTTAAAAATTTAACCTTATAGGTTATGAGCCAACACCTAGTATAACTAGTCCAACCTTTTCTTTTCTGTTTACCATGTGGAACTAATTAACTTTCCACTGTATTATGGTCTGCAAGCTGCATTCAATTGAATCATTCTGAAATAATGATTTATTACAAGGCCTGTTGCGTGATCTTGTAGGTACATGGCCTACATTATGGACACAAACGAGGAAGAGCGGACAAAGGTTTGATTATTACCTGCATTCTCATATCTGGCTCGCTTTCAATCTATTCCAAGACTTTATTTCTCTACCATTGTACTTATTGGATTTGTGTATCATCTGTCACTATTTATTAAGTTCAGTTCTTCTATGCTTTAGGACTTTGGTTTCTCTGGTGTTAATGGTTTGTGAATAAGAAATGACAAACTATGTGGATAAATAATTTTATAAATTATAGTTTGTGATATATTAGAAATGGTGACCCTGTAAAGGAGATACTATCACATATAGATGATTAATCATTTCTTTTTTGCTTGGCAAATCATTTGATTAGTGAGCTGTTCTGCCTTTTCTTGTTTCATATGGTCTATAGGGAATAACTGTGGAAGTTGGCAGAGCTCACTTTGAGACAGAAAGTACAAGATTCACAATTTTAGATGCCCCGGTAACTTCTCTTGTACATGTTTGAGTAATCTTTTTTTCTTATTTTGTGAGTTGTTACACTTGTAATCCTATGGTTTTTTGTTGCACTGCAAACCTGAAATCAATTTGTTTTAGCCAGAAGCTTTCCTCTTTTATTTTCTTTGTTTTTCGTTTCTTTGACATGTGCTTACGAAGAAATCTGTTCTCTTTATATTTTTTGTTTTCACAACTTTTATCTTTATGATGGTTTCTTTCCAGAGTAAAAGAACTAGTTTTGCTGGTATACATTTTATCAACAAGTATTGACATGTTGAATTAGTTGTACACCAAATTTTGAACACAAGCTAATTTTAAGTGGTTATAATATGAAAAACCTTGCTGAAAGTGCATGACTGTCTTTTGATTGAAAATCTTAAAATTTATTGATAATCCAAATTATTGCATTCTCATTCGACGATGTTGTGACACACATGTTGACTAGAATCTCAAAAAGATGGAAATGCATTGAAAAGTTAGAAGATTTTGTTGCCTGTTGGCATTTTCTCCTATACATGATATATTCCTCAAGGGAAATGCTGCTATCTATTATTTGGCTAAATTAAGATGAAAAGAAAAAGAAATGCAACCAATCATGGTAATTCCTTTTATTTAGAAAATTCACTTTCCTGTTGCCTTATTCTTTCATAAATAATGTATCTATTGAAGGACATCTTATGATTTGTACCCTTGTGGAGTCTAATAAGATAAAAAAAGAAATATAGTTACCAAAAAATTTGTTGTTAAACCAGAAATGTCCATTTAACTTGATTTTCAAATGCTATTGTTATTTGACGGTTCAGTCCCCAAGCATTTCTATTATTTGTGGTATGGTTTATGCATGCTTTTACTTGATTGGGCCTGTTTTTCACTTTCATACTCGTTTGTTTTGAAACATGCTGTGGCTCTCCTCTTGACATTTTCTGAGTACTCATGTATTCTCTTTTAGAATAATTGTATAATTCACTGCTTATGTAGCCAATTCACAAGGTTCAAATTTTATTGCAGGGTCATAAAAGCTATGTGCCCAACATGATCAGTGGTGCATCTCAAGCTGATATTGGCGTCTTGGTAAGTTTGTATATGAACATATTTATTTAGCATGTGTGAAGTTTTAAATTTTATGAGTCCTATACTTTGGCCTTTCTCTGGGTAATAGGTCATATCTGCTCGAAAGGGAGAGTTTGAAACTGGATTTGAAAAAGGTGGGCAGACCCGTGAACATGTGCTACTTGCGAAAACATTGGGTGTTGTTAAGTTGATTGTTGTTGTCAACAAAATGGATGATCCTACTGTGGGATGGTCAAAAGAAAGGTCAATTTATTGTTTATAACATTTTGCTGCAGTCCAAATGAGCTTTACCTTTAAAATTGTAAAATGTTGTTGTTGGTTTATTATGCTTCAGATTTGATGAGATCGAATCTAAGATGGTTCCCTTTTTACGGTCTTCTGGTTACAATGTAAAGAAAGGTAATATAAACGAACTTTTGTATTGCATGTTTAATGTTTTTGGGTACTATTTTATGTTCATTTGGCTTCCTCTTTGAGGCATCTTGAGCATCTGGTTTATGGACATTTCTGTCTTGTGAATTGGCTGAACTAAGTATCAACTGTAAATGGAACAACAAAGAGAGTTGGTACAAGACTGGGTCGGTTTTGTTTGTTTCATCACATCTTGTTTAATTTTTCTGGAGAATTAGTTTGCTGCTAGCTATGTCCTAAATCCTGTATAAATTATTATGGATTCTTTACAAGTATGGATCTGTTTTACAGCAGAAAGGACGGATTGATGAAAACATTGTCTAGAGAGTAAAAACAGAGTGATTAAAGTGGAGAGGGATATTGGGAGCTTTGTTTGATCATAATGTAGCTCTTAAAATGGAATAAAGTGTTTTCGAAAAAAAAGGATTAAAGTATCGGACAATTGGAAAAAAGAATATATACAAAAAGTTAGGATAGTTGAGTTGAGAGTGTTGACATGCATGTATGAGATTTCTAGAATTGACAAAATAAAAAAAATTATATATACATTTGCAAATGATTAGGTGTAATCTTGTAGGCTGTGCCTTTCTTACAGTAATTTTCTCTGAGAAACCCCCTACCCTTTCATGAAATTATGCTCTATGCATTCTGATGAAATATGATTAGACTCATGCCAATGGTTGTTGTCAGTGGACTCCGGAGAATATTTTTCAAATATTCTCTACTTTCATGAGTTGTTTTAAGCTTCAAAAGACCAGAATTACATCATCACTCTTTTTTTTTTCTTGCATTTGATCTTCTTTAAAGGTTGATAATACTATTTTTTTTCACCTGGTCTTCTTTAAATATTCTTTCATGATTTGTTTGGTTTTTTTTCCAGTCAGAGTAAATTTGAATTCTACCAACATGTTTATTACTTAATTTTCACTTAGAATTAGATTTTTTGCATATCTTAATATTAAAAGTTCTCGTGTCAAGTTTGCAACTTTTTAAATTAAGCTGGAACTATGTGTATATTTCGTAAATCTCTTTTTAAGTGTAAGCCAGACTGGCATGGACCTCACTTGGAACCGTGCTATCTGATTTAGATTCATGGCCCGTTGAACAACCGATCAGTCTCAATCATTCCTACAGAATAGCAAGTGAAAAGCCACTGATTGCACTCAGCTGGCTTGTAATTCGAGGATGGTGATACTTCTCCACTTAATTCTAATCATCATGAGCTCTGAATTCCTGATGTGAGATCAGTAATAGTGTGTTTATAATGACAAAGTAACATTATTCAACTGATGCCATTTAAAATAACATAGCAGTAGTTCATCCACCAGACTATAAGTGGAAAGAGAAGGGCAATGCGAAGACAGTTGATGAATTTGAGGAGATGAGAGATGATAGTTGAGATTGGGCTAGACAAGAGTTCCTTGTATCAACAATGTTTTTACTGGAACTGATTTTGTTGGCCATGAATGATAACTGATCCTAGTATCCTAGTTTGATAAAGAACTTCCAAAAGTACATAAAATTAGACGACACATGTATTGCCCATACACCATAAATATATAGTTAACAAATTTTATAATACATGAATTTAATCACCACAAAAGCCATACCTTGCTAGTGGTGCAGAATAACTACCAAAATGATTATTATGCTAAATTAGAAAATAGGTAAACTTGGGGCATGATTGGACATGTGACTGACATGAACGTGTAAGGTGCCATTGTCACAGCACTAAACATGGAAATGTACCAAGCAGACCTGAGGTTTGGGCATGCCTGATGCATTATTGGAAACTGTTGACACATGTATTGCCCATACATCATAAATATATAGTTAACAAATTTTATAATACATGAATTTAATCACCACAAAAGCCATACCTTGCCAGACCTGAGGTTTGGGCATGCCTGACACATTATTGGAAACTGTTGACATCTGCAAGCCTTCCAATTTTGTTGTGTTTGGTTTTGTCAGTGGAAATGTAGGTTATGATACAATGTGGAACTGACCAAGCATGTATTAATGAAGTCTAAGACATATTTATGAAAAAATAAGAGTTACGATTTCATTTGTATTATTTTGCTTAGTTTGTGCTTATCATGAATATAGTTCTTTATGTTTTATTGGGTTGCTCTGATATTTTGCAATTGATTGATATCTTCTAAAATCTGCAAGTCAACTAGGGAGACCTGTGTATTAAGTTAGAAGGTTGGAATGGAAACCTTGCTGAACAATGTCAGTTGCAGGATGCAACTTGTTGATTATTTGAGAAAATAACTGATGCCTTCACTTAATAGACCTTAATTAAATTTCTATGTTGCTAATGCTCCTTCTTCAGATGTTCAATTCCTTCCTATATCTGGGTTGGTCGGTAGCAACATGAAGACCAGAGTTGAGAAAAGCATCTGTGGTTGGTGGGACGGTCCGTGCCTGTTTGAAGTTTTCAATTCTGTTGAAGTTCCACCCCGTGATCCTAATGGACCTTTCAGGTTTGCAAAAATTACTGCCTTTTCTAAACCATGACTTGATGTCTCCAATGAACTTCGACACTTTGCATTTCTGATTACTTCCAGAATTTGTATCTTCAAAAGGAAAAAGAAAAACTATGATGGTGCTTTATATATATATGTATGTTTATATGTATATATATGTATGTATGTATATGTGTGTATATATGTATGTATGTATATCCGTAACCACTTCATCCTTTTAACTGTCTTATATTTGTCTTCTATTTCACATAGTTTTGGTCTCACTTCTTTTTCATGTAGGTGTAAACAATCCTTTCATCTTCTTTTCCTTCATTTTGTGAAATTTTGGTCCCCTATATTTGACGTGTAAAATTTGAGTATTCTTGATATGCAGACTGCCAATTATTGATAAATACAAGGACATGGGAATTGTAGTGATGGGAAAAGTGGAGTCCGGAAGTATCCGGGAAGGCGATAGTTTGTTGGTTATGCCTAACAAGGTATAATGTGTTTCTTTGTTACAAGCCGCCTAAAAGTACCATTTTCAAGTTGCAGTTAGTGAACTTGGAGTAATTAAATTTTCTTATATGCTGTTGTATAGGCTAGTGTCAAAGTTCTTGCTATATATTGCGATGAAAATAAAGTAAAACGCGCTGGTCCTGGCGAGAATGTCAGGGTAAGATTATCAGGCATTGAAGAAGAGGACATCTTGGCTGGTTTTGTCCTTTCAAGTGTCGGTATGTATCACTACTTTGGGATTGGTAGTCTTTGTAATTTTATTTAGCTTAATTGCTTGATTAGCACTTCAAAGATGAGCATGCATTCAATTCTTGACCAACTATTTCAACTTTCATAGGTTAACATAGACAAGTGAATGGTTGCAATATTTGTGAGTGAGATTCCCAACACCATATATACTAAATTAAACAAAATACACTTGAGGTGGCTGCAGGATATGTGAAATTACTTCTCATATCTGTGTTTGATATTATTGTGTTTTTTTTTACAAGCCAAAACATGTTTGAGCAGAACAGGATGGGCATGCATTAATCAATATAGTCATTTTGAAGATGGCAGAAGCACCCGGTAAGGTATTCATATAGATGAATGTAAGATTTAATTTGTGAGGCATATATGTTGTGACATCTTCTAGGAGGGAACAAAATCAAGGTAAACCTGTGGGGAAATACCTAAATGACACAAGATACATGCAGAAGTACGGAGAGAAAATAAGAAGAAAGTAATGCAACATCAAGTACAATTGCTTGTTTTATGTAGTTTTTCGGGTTGTTTACTTGTCACTCCTGATGTGTGCATGCTGAAAATAGGAACCCTGCAGTTCAGCATCTAGGCTGTTCAGACTGAGTTTGAAAAGAAAAATATATTGTTAGTGATAAAAAGAAAATTACTGTCTAACTTTTCTGTAATGTCTCCTGAATACTGTATGTACTGAGCTGTATTTTTGGTACTATTTAGGTTTTACCTATATGTTGTTATCATCATTTTATATAAAGTTGCAATTGCTGCGACCACTAAAGATACCTAGCTTCGTACACTCAGCATAATGTTGGGGGTTCAACTATGAATTTGTGTTTTGTTGACTTAGGGCCATCAGTTAAACTGGATTTCAAGTTGTGCTGGGAATTAAGTCTTAGGTCGATAGGGGATATTGATTATCGAGTCTGGTTATACTAGGATGAGAACTAATTTCCTATCAAAATATACCTGTCTATTTGTATATGCAGGTTTATGTACACATGGAGTTGTTAGCTCCATTTCTTATGACTTAAATGCACGGGCAAATGGCATTCACAACTTAAAACTACGTTGCATTTGATGTTTGTATTAACTATTAAGCATACTTGGGATTCTTAACTAGATACTTGAAACTAGTCTTTTTCTTCTATGATTGCCTAGAGCAAGGTATGCAATATCGTACCGTACCGGTGTTTCGAGGTTGGCTCGGTACGGTACGGTACGGTATGGTACCATGTACCGCTCGATACACTAGGGCGTACCGAGCAGTACACCAGGGCATACCAAGTGGTACACCAGGGCGTACCGAGTAGTTTTAAATATTTCTTCCTCTTACTGTAGCACGTTCTGTCCGGTAGCAGGCGGTCCGCGTACCGATATGTCGTCGGACCATTACGTACCGCCCGTATCGGGTGGTACTATTCGAAATTGCATACCATGGCCTAGAGTACCTAAACTTTGTGAAAGGTTCCTTTTAAAGTAGCTTGAGGTGAGTTGTGTAGCACAGTGGTGGGTTCTAGATTTTGGTGATGTTATTTTAGTGTGTCGAAGTTGAAGCATTCGGGAGTTGTATATGCATGGAGTATTTGCATTGATTTCTTTCTTTTACCCTAATATTTTCTTTCCCCTCCCCATCCCTTGTTTATCTTCTCTCCTTTCTTTTCTTTATTTCATTATGTCCCTTCACTGCCAAGGAAAGCCTACCCTTCCATGTTTTCTTCTGAAGCATTTAGGGTGAGTTATATTCGTTTCTTTTCTTACCTTTGTCTCTCTTTTTGTTTTTCTTCCTTTCTCTCTCTTCTTCTTTCTCATCTCCTAACTTCTGTTTCTTTTTTTTTCAGTGTCTTTCCATGAGGGTATCACCCTTTAGTTGTTCGTTGGATTCTCTTAGTGTCCTGTTATGTTTTAGAGGTAAAGTTTCTGCATCAAATGGATCCATTTGAACATTTGTCTGTCCATTCTCTTGATTTATTGGATTGGATCTGTCAGAATCTCAATCAGTATTGGTTTTGTTGGTTGTTCAACAAATGGAGCAAGTGATCTCCAAGATATTTAGGCTACTTCCTGCTTCATGCAAGCCTCACAAATTCTCTATAGTCTTGTGCACCGATGCTATGCAGGCCTGATATCCTCCAAGCCACTTACTGGGTAGTTTCACAAGCTCAGGGGGTGATTTGAAATTGGAGTTCTGAATTCTCCACACTGTTTTAATCTCAGCCTTCTCTCCCTTGAGTTAACTCATCTTATTCCTCCATGAACCCGAGTTCCACCTGTGATCGTTCTTTTCCTCTATGCTCGCCTTAATGGTAATATTTAACACTGGCCTGTCAAAGTATGCTAGTTTAACCCTTTGCTAAACAGTTTTTATGTTGATCTACTCTTTCTAGCTGCAGTTCAATTTAGACCCTAGATACCCTCGGTATCATGGACCTTTCTTCTGACCGAACAGAATCAGCGACTTAAATGCCTTGGAACTTTAGAACTGAAATCATTTTAATTAATAAACACGCCTTCAAAGTGGGAAAGCATAGGTTTGGTCCTGTTGCTATTATTTTCATGTATCACTTGCCAAGGATACTTGAGGTGTGAAGGAAAACAAATTCGTGATGTTGGACTTGCTGCTGCTTTAGTTGGTTTATGTATTTCTCATTTCTTTCTCTAGGACATCTCGCTTGCATTGTGTCTTTTTGGTAGACCTCAGACCAGAAAACTGGATCATGCACAAGGACACTTCTTGATGTCTATTTTTGTCCTCTTGGATTCCTTCGATGTAGAAGATTATTCTTCATCCTCGTTCTTGTTATCATATGCTAACTATGGTTATATCTGTACTGGAATTCGATGAATTGTATTCTTACAATTTGAGGATCTTTATTTTCTTGGAAACAGAACTTTGGAGAAAAGTAGAAGCCTTAATTAGTCTTTCTGCTTACCAAAGACAAGATGAGTTATTAAAGGTTTTTTTAATCTAATTCTCAAAGTACCTAATGTTTAAAATATTTAGCAGCATACCACCGGTTAACCATAGCCCCACACTAAAATTGCTTTCTAAATGTTGATCCAATAAAATCCAAATCGAAGTACAACCAAAACAGAAATGTAGGTCACTTATGAATTGATATCCGTACACCTGTTAGCCCACAAAACATCAAAGCACACTCACAGCAAGAATTGGGTTTAATGTGGCTTACTGACATCACTGTTTTTTGTATATCTGACTGAAGGATATTTTTATTTTTAATTTGCTTGAATCAGAAGATCTACAATACTAATACTGCTGATTTTTCAAAATAATGTCATGCAGCAAATCCAGTAGGTGCAGTATTTGAATTTAAAGCTCAATTGCAGATTCTCGAGTTGCTGGACAATGTAAGTGTTTCCCTTTTGGATGGCTGTCGCTATTGGGCTTATTCAGAAAACAAAACCAACCTTGATTTTGTCAGGCTATCTTTACTGCTGGCTACAAGGCCGTATTGCACATCCATGCAATTGTTGAGGAATGTGAAATTGTAGAACTTATAGAAGAAATTGATACAAAGAAAAAGAAGGATACTGATCCCAAAAAGAGGAAGCCAAAACGAAAACCTCTTTTTGTTAAGAATGGTGCTGTTGTTGTGTGCCGCATTCAGGTCCAAGTCCTTTTAATACCGAAAATAGGATGACAACCATATGCATTTCCACAGTTCTAACTATGAATGATTTTCAGGTGAATAACTTGATATGCATCGAGAATTTTTCTGATTTCGCCCAGCTTGGGAGATTCACACTTCGAACTGAAGGTAAAATGACAGCTACTAGCTACTGATTATGTGAATCGAGCTTGTGACAGTCGTTTACTTTGTAAGCTGCTTTTACAGGGAAAACAGTGGCAGTGGGAAAAGTTGTTTCACTTCCAGCTGCCGGAAACTCCACATTTGTGTAACTGGATGTAATTGAATTTTGATATAGATGAAAGGTGCTTGTTTCTTCTTTCCCCTATTATTTGGAGGATTTCTGGTTAAGAATCTCCTTTTCCTATCCAGCATTTGTTAAAAAGTTTCCAGTTATGTTGGTTGCAATAGGAACTGGCATTTTTGCTCTCTGAGTAAAGTATTTTGCTTAAATGTATTGGTTAGGTTGAGAATTTCTTGGAAGCAGACTTGCGGTGACCATGGCTCCCATTAGAGCATCGGAAAGGCGCATGAGTTCTAAATTCTAGCTTTGGCGAAGACTGCTTATTTTTATAATTATCGAGGTTCTTATAACATCTTATGATGCACATTTTCCAGTCAGATACAAATGTGTGAGCGAGCTACAATTCAACTTCTTGCTTTTAGCATCCTAGTGCTGCTTCATGCTTATAGAAAGTAATGTCTCGGTGACTTGATCTCCTATCACTCCTGTATTTTAAGCTGAACCTGGAAATGTTATATTTTTTTCTCCTAGTGTTCCATATTTTCTTCTTGATGTGATTCAATATGTGTCATGTATTATGGCTGCTTATGAATGCCAGATTATTACGGTTGCTCAATGTTTTCTACATGTTTTATAAAAACGATCATTTTATCTGATCACAGATCCAAGTGTTTGATGCCATGTAGATCCTGCTGAAATCTAAGAAAGAGAACAGAAAAAGAATTCCAATGTTAAGAAAAAAGAAAGTTACACGACACCTGAGCAGGATGGTAAGATGCTGTGGCTTTGATTCATCAATGGTTGTCTTTGAAAATATTTACTGTCGAAATTATTCTCTCTGAGTGGCTGCTGTTGCTGCGGCATTGGTGGTTGGTTGTCTTGGATCATCTTTAAAAAAACTAGTCAGTCATTCTTGGGGGTTTTCTGTCTGCTCTTGTTAGCAGTTTGTTTTCTTGTTTGATGGAAGATTTTAAGTGGTGAACGATGACAAGCTAAAGCTACGGTATTGATATATTTTATCGGTTGTTTGGTTAAGTGAAAAATATTAAAAAATATATGATAAATTGATCCGCTTAGATGTACTTTTGCTTGTGGTTTTCCCTATTGTCCTGTTATATTAAGCTATTTAACTTTATTGAAGGCCTATCCTCTAACAAAATTTACGATACTCAATTGCTTATTCAGCACATGCCTTGCTCCTCTTGTTAGCACTACAAAGTTTGCGACATAGTATTCTATAACCAATTAAATTGCTGTGATGGCGGCATAATATTCTATGACCATTTAATTCCTTGTCACAGCAGAACAGCCATCCTCATCCATACGTGAGGATTGTTATAGGCTCCCGGTGAAGTCTCATAGAGATGCGACTTTTAATATATTACATCTACTTATGCCCAGCCCTGAAAAGTACAAGTTATTGCTCGGCTCTATTGAGTATAGGATCTTCTATAGAGGTCAACCTCTTAGCGTTGACTATAAGCTGTTTAAACGTATTGATGTCGGGCCAATCTAGTTTATGGAGTCCTTGATTTTGATTTGATAAGGAGCTGGAGTGACTCCGGTAGTTTTTATTTTTATTTTTATCATCACATGTTTTCTTTTTTTTATTTCTTTATTATTATCGAACTGCTACATAAATATGATCTATTATGTGAATTCCTTACACTGCAGTAACTCTTCCGTAAAGCAGAGTTGAGACTGGTAGAGTCACATAATGGAGCAGGCATTTGGGTTGTCATCACTGAACAAGGCGGCAAGCTCGTCCTCCGGTTTGACGACTTGGCTGGAGACTCTGATCGCCTCCACGTTCCTTACGTACCCCGCAGGTGCCTTCTTGTCGTAGGTTTGAGCAGCATACGGGCGAGCAACGACGTTATAAGGAACATAAGGCCAGATCTCAGCCTTCTTCCCCGTGGACTTGACCCTCTTCACCACCTTGTGTGGCTCCACGTAGCCTGTCACAGTCACCTTGTACTGCTTTCTGCTGATGTCCACCGATCGAACCCCTGTGGAGATCACCCAGTGGAAGTGAAGTAGATCAGGAGTTGGTATAACAATGGCTCGACGGACGACTAGTACAGGAGGAGAAGGTCGAACCTTTCATGGTAGAAAGTGCATTCCTAACTTTTAGCTCGCAGCCCTCGCAGTCCATCCTGACCCTGAGCTCCACAGTCTGAAACTGCTTCCTCTTGTTGTACCTGTGGCCGCCGCCGAGCAAGCTGGAGAGGAAATCTAAGGTGCCTCCCATGGTGCTCCTTTGCAGCTACACCCTCGACGATCATAAAAGAAAAGAAGGAAAGGAGAGAAGAAGAGGGGACAAGATTGTTTATGAGAAGAACTATGAATCAGACCAAGAGCTTATACTGGTGCTTTTAGCTCTTGGTGTTTGTTCTTCCTTGGAAAGGAAAACAATCTCTCTCTCTCTCTCTCTCTCTCTCTCTCTGAGATACCTTACTTCGGGTTGGTCTTCTTTGCTGCAACTTTGCTTCACTGCAACCCCTCTTATATAGGCACGAGAGAGAGAAACCAAAAAGACTATCACCAACCCAAAAGGTTTCGAATGCAGCAATGATTAAGGCAAATTCAACAGGGAACGATACTGTACTTGTGTGTGTGTGTGATTGGGACTTGGCCCTCAGAAGAATAATATAAGGTGACGTGTGGGGGAGTGGAGAAGCTGGTCCTTAAGGCACAAGAAACCTATTGGAACTTGAACTGTAAATGTTCTTGGACGAATTCACCTAAATAGCATAGTGTGGTCCTTTAATTCTTCACTTGATCCAATATACTAAACTTCTTTGTCATTATCCGCCCACCACATCTTGATACTAAAAGAATAATATGAATAACCAATAATTAAAATATAATATTAAAAGTAAACATAAGATTTATGTGACGTGACACTCAGTCTCTAAGTCTATTAAAAAAATTTTTCATTATGTAAGATCAACTATAAGTTCTCTTGAGTTAATCCTGATTAGCTCGTGCACAAATCACCTTATACAATTTTGCACATAAACTTTGAAAATATTTTCTTATCTTTCCTCTCATCTTGTAAGAATCTTGCTCATAATATTTATTTTCTTACATACTTCTTCCATTAAAACATAAAGATATATGAAATTTTTATAAAATAACATCCTCACAACTCTTAAGGATAGAGAAATAAAAAAATAAATATATAAAAAAGGAAAAGCTCTTGATAGAAAATCTAACGTCAATCGATATATGGTTCTCACACGAGATCCAAATCATCCTCCACTCATTTGTTTACGTGGACCAAGATTCAAAGTAGAAAAATACAAGTTTCCTTTCTCATTTATTATGAAAGTAATCTCAAGCTTTCTTTTCATCTTTTAAGGTATAAAACATATTTCAAATGAAAGAAAAGTTCTTTTTCTTTTTTGGAACTACTCGAATTTATATTTGGAGATCTCAAATCACTAATCTGAGTGTCAGAGGGATCATGTTGGTAAACATCTCTTGACCTCGATCTTCGTATAGGTGACACCTCACAAGCTTTGTCTTTTCACGTCGAAGGAATATCGGACAACTCTGTATATACAGATCTGAACCACATCATGACTAAAATGTCAATGATATTTTCCCCTGAATAAGATGAATATTTATTTTCTTTTTTTCCCATGGTTTTCATAGAATTGTGATCTTAGATTGTTCTATTAATATGATTTTTTATACTCATAATAAAAAGTCCAAGTTAATAGAACATTCAACAAAATCATTGTTTTTAAATTATTTATAACTGCGGTTATATAAGGCCGCAGTGGATGATGTGTAGTCTAAGGGAAGTATTATTGTAATGATAATAATTTCCAAGATTTTTTTTTCCTTGGCATAGAATAAGAGAGAGAAAGAAAAGCTGAGATTTATATAGTGCCATGGAATTAGAATAAGTCGATCAATTCGTTGTGTCAAGAGACGGGTCTAAGATGACCTAATGGCACAGGATGGTGTTGTATTCCCCCTATCAATTCACTGTGTGCAGGTGCTTTTTCTTGGTGCCTTTGGGGTGCAATGTTTTGGTCTTACAGGAATGAACACGAGATTCTTAAAGGAGAGGCGAGAAAAGCTGCGGCTCTCAACAAAGTTTGGCCTCCGGTTAATGGCTATAGAATATTTATGTCGTCAACTTTCTCACTGACTCCCTCTTTTTGGATCCCCTTACAAAAGATTTCAGCTTGATGCCAACGACTGCATCTGTTTCCTTCTTTTTCTCATGTGCATGAAGCCTTCATCCTTAAGCAAGCACTTTGGGATACTTCGGAAGGCAGCCACCTAACATCCGGCTCTTCCTCTTCTTTCGAATGTTGGTACATGCTAAATCCAATGACTCTCTTTATGTATCTATCTATCTATTTATCTAAAATATAAAATAAATTATTGAGATATAATATAATACTTCCATTAATCGTACATCGAAAGTGGATAATATTAAGATTGACTTATAAGAATAAGTAGGAAAAAAATTATTTGAGTTATATTAGGTCTTGCATTTACCATGTTAAATTTTGATTTGGGTTATATTAGGTCTCGACGAGGATGTTTAAACTCTTCATTTTAATATTTGATTGTTTATTTATTTATTTTGTGATTGGTTTGAATGGTTCAGAACCACTCGACCAGCTTTTCGAACCGAGAAACGTGAATTTGGGCTGGATCGAACTAAATTTGGCCCGCTTGGACCGGATCAAATCCGGTTCACATAGGCTGGACCGCACAATCCAGCCTTCTTGAGCTGGTCTACTCAGGTCCGATGGGTCGGCATCACTGGGCCGGCTTGGGTTGAGCCCGTACCCATGCGGAATCACTTTCTAACTATCCTATACAAATGTGATGGTGAAGCAGCTATAGTGGCAATATTAATACTAATAGTAAAAACTACAATGAGAAACTACACATAATTGAGTACGTGAGAACTAATAATAACTTGCAATCGCGATTCCTCCAATTGGTAGGAAAAAACAAACAAAATAAATTCTAACACCTAACAATCTCTTTCAAACTTCGTTATCATTCGCGACTCTTCCACTTATTGACTAATGGGAAGTTGCCGATAAGTGGTAAGCTGCCTCTTTCAAGAGAAGGATACTTTTGTTACCTCACCTCACCACCAGTATCATCACCTCCGTTTTCTTAGAATCTAAATTATATATATATATATATATATATATATTCGTTCAAGCGCGACGAGGTCGGCGTTAGAGTAAGCTTACTAGAGGTGACGGGATACAACAGTACGAAAGTCCCTCTCCTATAAAGGAACAAGAAACCGTTAGCCACTGACATACGGAAAGAGGGACGAATGGAGCGATGGGAGAGAGCGCCGAACCGTCGTAGCCGATCGAAGAACCCGTCATTCTCCTCCTCTCTCCTCGACGCCATCTACCGATCCATCGACGAAGAACACTCCGATAACAACGGCCACCTTCGAGCGCCCGACCGCTCCTCCAACCACAAGAAGCGAGAGGGGCAACCCATGCCGGCACCCTGCATTGACCGGTGCCACTGCCGGTCCAGAACGATGTCCCCCGCGAGCGAGCGGGCGGCGAACCGATCCAGCGTCACCGACTACCGCCGCCATGGCTCCATCGCCAGAGGCAGCTTCACTCTCACTTCCTGCTCTTCTTCGTCCTCGTCAACCACGACCACCGCCGCTGCCAGCAGAACTAGCAGTTCCACCGGCTTCTCCTCATCGTCCGATGCCGAGTCCATTCGGTCGGACTGCATCCCTCGGCCCCATCACCCTACACCGGAGAAGAAAACGAAGAAGGCCAAGTGCGGCTCGATCCGTAGCGGGCTCAGGGGTCTGAGGAAGAGCCGGACGCCTGACGCGGCATCGATGGCGGCGCCATCGCCAGCGTCTCCGGGTGCCCGGCTGGCTAGCTTCCTCAACGCGCTCTTCGCCTCCGCCGGGAGCCCTAAGAAGCCCAAGACCCCCACTCTCGCCGTCGCGACGACGGCGGCGGCAGGCTGCGGAGACAGCGAGGACTCGGCGTGCTCGTCGTCAGCGTCGAGCTGCAGGCGGTCCTGCCTGAGCAAGGCACCAGCGATGGCAGACCGACGGCGAGCGTCGGGAGCCGAGGCGGGGAAGCGGTCGGTGCGGTTCTACCCAGTGAGCGTGATCGTCGACGAGGACTCCCGCCCCTGCGGCCACAAGCGACTCCAGGACGACGCAGAGGGTGAGGCGGCGCCGGTGGCGGCGAGGGTGGAGGAGCTACTGAGGGCGGCGGGGGCGGATGCGGAGGCAGAGGAGGAAGGAGAGGACGGGGGCAGCGAGTCGAGTTCGGATCTGTTCGAGCTGGAGAATCTGACGGTGGTGATGCGAGGAGGAGGGTACCGTGATGAGCTACCCGTGTACGGGACCACCGACGTCAGCACTAATCGGGCGATCTCTCAAGGTTTGATCCACTAGAGAAAAATAATAAGCCACTAAAATTAAAAACCAAAAAATCCACGAGAAAAAGAAATAATTACATAGTAACATTTATTTTCCTTGGTAAGAGAGGTTATGTTTGTTATGGAATGATAATTAATAGGGCAAATTAAATAAATAGAGTGACTTAATTTTTAATTTATGTTATGTTATGCAACAAATTATAAGTGTGTAGTAGTGGAAGAGAGTCGGGCTGTTTGGATTTATGTATCTACTGCTGTGCTACATCGACCCTGTCCATGATTTCGATTTGGTTCGGTAATAAGCAGCTGCAGCATGGTCGGGCACGCGCACCCACGTCTAGAACCAACATAATAGCAATAATAATGGTATCGGATCCTTTGCACAACCTGGCAGGGCCCAATGGAAGCATGGCCATGATAGTAATGTGCACAGTCACTTTCATAGAGCCATCGATAGATCCAGGCATCTGTGGAGACTATAATCCTCGACAGACACTTGATTGAGCGGGTTGAAGTATTTATATGTGTGAAATAAAAATAAATAAATTTATCTGTCAGATTGGTATATAATCTAATCGCTTAAATTTTTTGATATATATATATATATATATATATATATATATCTTGATCAATTTAATTTATCCTCATAAATATTTGATTTCCAAAATGGTATTTGAGCCATATGGATAAAAATTTAATCTATATAAGTTACCCTTTTTTAAAAAATTGAGCCAATCAAGCTATAGTTAGAAAAAAATATGAACTTTGATAAAAATTTAAATCCTTATAAATAAAGAAAAAAAATAATCTATATATGAATAGAGGAAACTGTCAAAAATATTCATGTGTGATAGATAGATTAAAAAGAGATGGAGCTTAAGAAAATTGAAAGACTCCGGTTAGGGTTGGACCACAATAAAATAATTAAAACTTTTGCATTGGATTAATATGTGACGTAATATATGTTAATTTTGAACATTTTGACTCATAATCTCTAATAATGATATGGTGCTTGTGATTAAGTCTAACTATTATATCATTTGACATGATTTGTTATAATCTAAACTAATGGGATAAATTTTATTAAGTCAATCAATTATCCTAGTTCATAAGTCAATGCGAGTCCTTTATAATAATATTTTTAGATTGAATTTTATTTTTTACTGTTTATCCTTTTTAATAATTTTTGATATTAAACATGGAAAATAATACAGTCCAATCTTGCCTTCATCATAAACAGCTAAGATTTAGTTGTTGAAAATGGAGTAAATGCGTGGAGCCAATTTAGTTGTTGAAAAATATACTTTAGGGGTCCTTTTATAGTGAGATTTTTTAACCATTATGTTTGAGATCATGATTAAATATATAAAACTGTTGTATATTTAAATTGATCAAACCTAAGAAAATATCAAGTAATGACTAGTTGAATTATTTTTTTAAGTAATTAACTCTATAAGACGGAAACGACAGTGCTTTATTTGATTAACGATGAGATGATGGTGAGGTAATGATAGTGTATCATGTGTCATTATATCCATATCAATTTTTATTTATTTTATCTGTAAAAAAAATATTTTTTTTTATTTTATAAGGTTTTTTGTAAGGGGGTAAATTGTAAAATTGGAATTCAAACTTAGGATCTTGTGATAAATTAACTGTCAAAATCTTTACCAGTTAGCACACATAAATCATTTATCAAATATGTAATATGATGCTTAACTCGTTTCTCCATGTGCCTCCCCAATAAGAAGGAAATCTAGACTTATTAACCTTGATAATTAACGTATACACAATAGGATTTGTGCAGTGGCAAATTAAATAATAAGCTATAATAATTTTAAGAGATTTTATTAATAAATATGTACTTAGAAATATCTACTATTAGTGATATATAGAGAAATTGAATGAGACCTAAAAAGACTTTTATAAAAATTATTAATAAATATTGAAATATTTTTTATTTTACTAGAAATATGACTATTTACATATCTCAATAACCCTAAAAGATTCATGCGATCCTAAATTGTTGAAACTTTATGATCTTATTTTTGTTATTATTATTACATTAATATTTTAAGCAATTAAGTGATCAAGAGAAGATATTTTCTTAATTCTCAAACTTACATTGACTAAATCTAAACAAATTCATATTATAATCATGGATAACTGAAAAGACCACTCACGAACATGTTATAAAGTGTAAAAATATGACATTTGCTAAAGGATGTCAAAGCAAATATAAAAGTTAAAGGATGTCAAATTAGCTTGGCTAATAATTATATATATTCCACCCTACTCATTAGAGTTTCAATCTGATTCCATTATGAGATTTATCCTTCTATGTATATTATCCGACACAATTATGATATCTTTCCCCCATTCAACATAAACTTTAAATGGATCTTGACACATCAATATGTAATAAATGAGATAAACCTAATCAAATTGAGTTGGCTCCGAGATAAGAATGTGGGGCTTGCAAATGGACTACTAATCCACCACTCCTACAATTCACTTCATCACATCTTGATCTCTCACTTATAATTTAGTCTAGATTTCTCTTTACAAGAGAAAGACACGTGAAAAAGTTATTGCTTGTATTAAGTTCGATAGAATGCTTAAGATTCAAGTTAGAGCATGGCCAAACATCACCTATCCTCTAAGTAATTTTTTTCTTCAATTTACTTGTGAATCTAAATCAATACAGTCTCAAGAAAATAAGTCAATGATGCTCACATATCAGCATCACATTTTAATAAGAATCATGTGAATCAAATTTGATACGAAGAATATCCCTCCATGTGGAATGTAGATAGGATCATAATATTATAAATAGGAACCTTTTTAGGTAAATATATGCTCTTTGGCCTCATTATGGTCCTTCATACATCAATCACCTTCAATCTATCAATAAAAATTTATAAATTAGCAACCTATCATATCCTCAATATAGACTCAAACTTGTTGACAAATAAAGAAAATATTCTCTAAAGCATCCAGAACATCATTATGCAACAATGTACTAGACTCACTTACCACACATTATTCAAATAACAGTTTATTAAACTTATTCACTAAATATTCAAGGTTAAAAATCCCAATCGAAGTATTTTATAAGAATGCCAACTAAGTTAGCCTAGCTACTTAAACTAATAGCAAGATCGAAGAATTGAATCTCATTTTTATTACTTTCATTAAAAAAAATGGACATTTGATTAATCTCAAAGCACATCACTGACCACTAAATTTGGCATTCATCCATCCAATTGATTACTTCTTACGCTTTGATTTCTCCAAAGTGCTTCCTAACACTTCAGTAATACATTTAATGCATCATTACTTCAGTCACGACATGGATGTGCCAAGACGAGATTTCGATCCATCCATCCATCATGATGTACGGGGATCCGACGACAACATGATCGCTACTCTCGCGAATTCATTCGTAGATGGCGACACAACAAGCACTTGCTGAGATGAGGCCGCGACGCCAGCTACATATCATAAGGCAGGGCAGCACGGCCGGAGATTTCCCTGTCGTGCATGGCGGTACGGACCGTCGCCATCGGCTTCGAGATCCCAGTGATGCATGTACCTCTCGCCTTCGCCACAAAAGCCGCGCCCCGGGGGTGGAGCCACCGCCGCACGTGAGCGCGGCCACCGCTGCCGGGCCACGCATCCATGTCGACTGTTTGGTTTAGTGCTCCAAAGAGGCCGAACACGACTGCGGCGTATGTGGCACGCACCCGCATGGCCGCCCGGGGAGAGAGAGAGAGAGAGAGAGGTACATTTCTCTTATGTTACATCCAATAAAATATATTACCTGCTTAAGTCTATCAAAAATATTAATTTCATACCCTCGATAACAACAAAAAATAATATGTAGTATCCATATAAATAATAGAGGCAATAATAATCATTGTCGGTAATCACCTCCGCCATGGACACTGGCTGGTGTTGCATGGACCATTAACTGTAGCAAGACAACCGATAGGCAATCCTGCGAACAGTAATTGAATGCGATTCAGACAGCTCAAGGCACTGTCTCTTTCCTCTATCCACTGCCTTTCTTGAGAGAAAGGTCCCTCCTACCAGAAGGTGTCATGAATGGAGGAGATAATGTACGTGGCTTTTGGGTCGAGACATCGATGGCAGAACACAAGCACTTGTCCGTGTACCTATCTAGTGTGGGTGTGTTTAGGAAGGGATGGAGCAGTCATTATTGTCAACGTCACTATGCTATCTCTTGGTTGGTACTCGTCGAAGCCACAACTCGATCAAAAATCAAAATCCAGTCAGATTAATGATTCAATGGTTTCAAATCAAAATCGAGTTCTAGTGATTCTTTTTTGGTTCAAATCGGATCTGAAAAATATTAAAAGAAAATCTAAATGATCAAATGCCTCTCCAAATAACGAATCTGTCCATTCTAGTAACTTAATAAATGATTAATTAGAATGATATTTTTAAAAAAATTTAAGATAAAAAATAAAAAAAAATTAAAATATATGTATTTTAATTTTAAGTAATAAATCGAAACCTTCTGTTCTTGAAGCTGATGCCAGTTGAAGTCTACTGTAAGAGAAGGCAACTCGGCCATGCATGCATGAGTTTTCTCGTGAGAACGAGTTCTCTCTCCAACTGTGTTCAGTGTTGTAAATGGAGGAGGTATATATATATATATATAGTGATTTATGTTCATAAGTCTCTGTTTGAGATTAAGAATATAAAATTTTTAAATTATTCTCAGCGTCTAGTGAAATTTTCATGACATTATGCGAGGACAAAACTTTAGAAAATTGGTTTTTATTTTGAATTTGTATATGAAATTAAATATACTAATTTTAATAAATATAAAATCTTATATTTTTATAAAAATCGATATAATTGATAAAATACTAAATTATAGTGAAGAATATCAAAACTATTATAAGCAATCATATGACACATTTCAGCACCATCCATGTGATAGTAGACTACGACCATGACAAGACCAATAAATGACCTCCGTCAGCATCGAACACCGCTGAGCCATTTCGGAAAGCTCGAAATGGCGTCGCACGATGTGGGTCCGTACAGGTCGATCCGCACTTGTCTGCATGGCGCAAACCATTCTCCCGATGAGTTGATAGTCATTAAAGAACTATGTACGACCGACCCTCCTTCACAGGTATAGAAGCCAACTCCCTGACCAATGCTAAGGGAGGCTTCAAGCATTCAACTCACTCTTGCTTCACCCAACACTAACCTAAACTTTAGAGATGTCGAGTCAAAAAATCTCCCTCCCGACCTCGACTTATGTGTAGGAGTTGACTATAGAAAA